GGGGAGGGGCCGGCGGCGGGGAGGGGCCGGCGGCGGGGAGGGGCCGGCGGCGGGGAGGGGCCGGCGCCCTTCCCCTGGGAGCGCTGCGTGTCGCCTCGGTGCTGAGCGCAGCCAGTGAAGCAGAAGTGCACACTTGGACAGCGAGGCAGCCAGCTCCTGGGCTTACTCGAGGAAGGCGCCGACCTGCCTCTGCAGAGTTAGACTGTCAGGGTCGGGCATAAAGGACGGAGTGCGTGAGACGTCCTCCTGCCACTGCTTTTCATTGTTCTGTAAAAATGGCTAAATGCTGGCTGCTTTCTAAAGATAATCTGCTTGTGAGCTGAAAGATCTGTGCAGAGTCGGGCAGTGAGACCGCAGCCGCGAGTGCGCCATCGCACGTTAGCCGTTAGGCTCCGTGTTGCGTGCTGAGTGCTCACTAAGATGTAATGAAGTACATTTTTCTCTAAAGTGGTTTGGGTCTTATTCCTTAAAAATTGTACTTTTTGCCATTATTCCTTATTTTCAAAGGATGAAGATGAAACAGCACTCCCTAGTAGTATTTTCTTCCAATTATAGGATTACATGGAGCTGTGGCATTTCATGAAAAGACTGAGGGCCGGCCAAATAGCTCAGCGGATTAAAGCACCTGCTTAGGCAGACGCAGTGGCCAGGGTTCAATCCCCAGCGTGCCGTGCCAGCCCTGCCCCCGGGGCATGTTGAGATGGTGCCTGAGTCTGGGCATGGTGGCGCATGCCTATAATCCCAGCGCTTGGGAGGCTGAAAACAGGAGGATCACTACGAGTCCGATCTGTGTAGTGAGACCCTGTAGACCCTGTACTAAAATACAAAAAAAAAAAAGACTAACTGATTTCAGGTCAGCTGCTGCAGCAGCCAGGGTCAGTGCAGATGTTCGCCCACACCGTCTGCCAGCCGTCTACACCTTACAAGAGAAGAGACTGCGTGCAGGTTCCCTCCTCAGGCGTGGCGGACACTTTCTGGAACATGCAGAATCGCTAGCAGCAAGATTCCCACGAGCTAATATCAGTCAAGTTATCTTTTTTTTTTTTTTTTTAAATGTATTTAGTACAGAGTCTACAGGGTCCCAGAGTCTAAAGGGTCCCACTACACAGATCAGACTCATAGTGATCCTTCCTGTTTTTCAGCCTCCTAAGTGCTGGGATTGCAGGTGTGTGCTACCGCGCCCACTCTTGATCGGTGTCTCAGCAAGCCTGGGGGTAGGACCGGCATGGCAGGCCAGGGATAAAGAATTTTATTTTATCTTTTGTTTATTTGGTATAAGATCTCTAATCATACTGATCCTCTGTCTTGGCCTCTGCAACCCAGAGCTGGGATTAACAGGCGTGCACTACCACGCCCAGTTTGGGGACTGGAAAGACATAGGTTACCTGGGATCGAACCCGGGTCCTTGAGCTTGCCAGGCAGGTGCTGAGACCGCTAAGCTATAGCCCCAGCCCCCAAGTTACCTTTGCACAACAACAAATGGAATCACTGTCAGTGTCCTATAACAGAAAAGTTAGGATCAAGTGTGTCTTTTTACTTTAATAGATGTTTAGGAGCAATTTTATTTCTTCTTTTCTTTTTGAGACAGGATCTCGCTATGCAGTTCAGGCTGGCTTTGAGCTCACTTTGTAGACCAGGCTGGTCTTGGACACACAATGATCCTCCTGCCTCAGCCTTCCAAGTTCTGGCATTGCAGGTGTGTGCCAGCACACCCACCTCCAAAACATACGTGTGTGTGTGTGTGTGTGTGTGTGTGTGTGTGTGTGTGTGTTACCAGGAATCAAAGGCAGGCGTTTATGCTGCTGAGCTCTATCCCCTACAGGAACAATTTTAGATTTAGAGAAAAAGAAAATACAAAGACCCGCATTCTCTGTTCTCACGTATGCACACCTTTCCCCCTCTCAGTACCCTGCACCGGGGCATGTGTGTGGGCATCAGGGGATCCACAGTGACATCATTGTTGCCCAGGTTCGTGGTTTACATCAGGGCACCGTGAGCGCTGGGCATTCTGTGGTCTTACGCAAAATTTCAATGATACACATCTTTGACTACCCTTATGATAGACTCAAAGTTTTTTTTTTTTTTTTTTTCAAATGTATTTGGTACAGGGTCTCACTGCGCAGCACAGACTGGTAGTGATCTCCCTGTTTCAGCCCCCCCAGCACTGGGATTACAGGCATGCACCACCATGCCTGGTCTCAGTGGCGGGCTCAGTGCACCCAGGAGCAGGGGTAGTGCGGCATGTGGTGCTGGGGATCAAACCTGGTCCCTGTGCTTACCTAAGCAGGCGCTTAGTCTGCTGAACTATCTCACTGAGTCAAGGTACATTTGGCAGTCGTGTTTCACTTCCTATTCTCCATCTGTTCCTCCCTGCCTCTGCCTCCCTGGCAACCACTGAACATTTCCCTATTTTTGTGGTTTTGCCTTTTCCATCATTTGGTTGGAAATCTGTGGTATTCAGCCTTAGCAGCGGCTTCTTTCACTTGGCCATCAGCATGCAAGTTTCTCCCTCGGAGCTTCATGACTTGGTGCTTGCAGCTCACTTCTTTGCTGTACTGAATTAGACGCAGCACAGTCACCCGCTCACTGGAACCCCTGGAAGTAAAATAGCAATTAAAAGCCTTCACTTTCTCCAGTAGGTAAATCCCCAAAAGGGATCCCCATGACTGGCGTGGAATAGCGTCATCTTTGATATCTACTCCCTGCAAAGCCTGGAGTAAGGCGGTGCAAACAGCGTCAAGTTGAGACAACAATGGCAACAGCCTACAAGCTACAACTCGCATTGAGTCACAGAACTTACCGGGCAGCGTTGGAGGCCCTGTGGCATTACCTGTTTGCACTGCAGAACAGATATCGCCACCTAGAGGGGGTCATAAGGGACAGAGATGGGCTTCTCGTGGCCTGGGCAGTTGGGAGGTCCGCGGGCGAGGCTCCTGCAGTGTGTCTCAGCAGGGCGATGGGGCTGAGGGTGGCCTCCCGGCTGTGCCCTCGCATGGTAGGATGCACGAGGGAGCCTTCGTGGCTCTCTTTATGACAACATTCAATCCCTTTCTACTTGTGGAACCAGCTGCCAAGGATCCCATCTTCTCGTGTTCTCATGTTGGAACTAGGCTTTTGGAATATAGAACCCAACAATCCAGCCTCGGGCCTTCCCCCCTTTTCATGTCCAAATGCCACTCCCAATTCATGTCCTTCTCACATACAAAATCCGTTTATTACACCCCAATCACATTTATATATTT